GGTTAGCAGTTCAATTAGCTTTTTGAGTTTTCATTTTCGGCCAATTTAGAAGCTTAAATATCTTAGTTATCAGTTCCGTTTAGATAAAGTTCACTTCTTGCCATTAATATCAACCTCTTGACTTTATTTAAGACATTGGAATTGATACTTTTGTTTTTTTCTAAAAAAAAAGGATGTTGCTTTTTCAATATTTGTTGACAAATTTTCGTTCCCTTTCAAGAAATTTTTTGTAAATCAAATTTTGGTAGGTTATGGTGCAAAAACTACATATATCATGAATAAAAAATACTGCTGCAAAAACTATAGTCACTTAAGATTATGATCCATGAAGAACTTGTATACTTAATTATTTTCCATTGTACTTTTTCTTTGGCCTTTCCTTAAAAAACAGATTTATCAGTTTGCTTATTAATTAACTAAACATCCATGTAGAAGACATGTATTATAGCAACTTAGGAAACAGCTGCAACTTCAGCCATATATCGGGATATAGGAGACCATGGCCACGTTGACTTCCTATCAACAATAAAAACTAAAATTGTCACTAAGAATATGTTAATGGTTCATAAATGCCCTGAACTCAGAGTCTCTAAATCTGCAAACTATCACTTCTACCACAGATAGACATGTCTTCATAACCTTATAGGATCAAGTTTTTTTTTCTGGTTTTCACCATTATATAACAATATTAGTAAACAGCTTATCTAGACAATGTTTTAGGCTCAGATCATTTAACTATGTTTTCACTAGCAGTAAAACTTAACAGAATAGTAAACGGATCAATAGTGAGAGTTATAAGACCATTATTTATTAATTTGATTGATTTTCTTCTCACAATGTACTTACTTTACTTGAAAACATATTTTTATACTTCTAGATCATAACTAAACAATAAGTTTTATGGAGTTATGAAAATGGTGTTTAGCACTGCTATTGTAATTCTTCAATTTTCTTTTTCATTGTGAATCTTTATTCTTCCTTTTTTTATACTGATTTTGGTTTTTTTTTTTTGCCTATGCTTACAAAATGTCGACCTGTTTCTTCAACTAAAGCTGGCTATTCTATTTGGTGTGCATCTTTTGCTCCAACAAGTTGGCATATACAGCTCTCAGGTTTGTCGAAGCAACTAAATTTTCTGCTGCTTTTTTTTTTTTTTGTCTAAAGGATTTAGATTTATCTGCTATTGATTATATTACAGGTTGTATGTCTCATGTTAAAAAATTTAAGCTTCAAGCATATTAATTGCTATTTGTTTCATTTTTATATGATTATGAGATACATGATATAGTTAATGGTTTTCTTTCTGTTATGAAGAGTAAAAGCCTTCACATGATGAGAATGAATGTCTGTTCCATATAGAAAGCCTTGGATAGTAGTTTTCTTTTTTTGTCATGGACTCTGTGATCAAAGAAAATCCTGATGATGTTCCTACTGTGATTTCTCAGTTTGATGTGGGTCAAATGATGAGGAAAAAAGATTGTAGAAAAAATGCAGTTCTCAGATGGAAAAAGAAACGGTTAGATAAAGCAATAAAAAGTCATAGTATAGGAACTTTGCCTTTTGCTATTGCATCTCCCTTGCCACCTGTAAATTTGAGTAATATGCAAGTGTGTACGCCTGCACTATCCCAGTTTACAGGGAGGCACACTTCCAACCTGACAGAGTATCCTACACAAATTAGTGTGAGATCATATGCCAAAACATCTCAAGCAAACCAACTTTTTGAGGTAGCCTCTTTAGAAAATCAGATTATAGACTTTGCTAAGATTGTGACTGAGCCTTCTATTGCTCAGTCTCTTCCCAGGTCGTCTTTATTCAATATAACTTCAAATAGTATGCAAATTGGTATGGATACGTCATTTGAATTTGCAAATAGCCAAAGCGTAACTTTGAGACATCATCGGAAAGAGAAAGCTCTTATATTGAAAGTTCAGATATCTAAAAAAAAAACATTCAAGTCAACAAGAATGTATGAGATCGCAGATTATAGGGCCTCTTCCAAATGTCTCTAAATCTGTTCAGCCTCTGATACCGGATTTTGTCAACACATTTTCGTTGCCAAATGCAAACTCGAATAGTTTGCAATCATGTATGCCTGTCCTGTCAAAATTTTCAATAGCTGAATCTTCCACCTATAGAAATCAACAAAAACAGAGAGTGCTTAAGATGGCAGCGAAAAAAACTAAGCAAAATCAACTGAATCAAGCACAGAACATAGGATCGAAGAGTTTACAACCTCTCATAAGTACAACTGAACAGCATAATCCTGAGGGTGTTGAGATTTTAAATCAGTCTAATTAAGTTGTTCACCAATTACAATTGAATACGTCCCAATTTTCAGGTATTTAATATAGCACTGCTTATTAATATAGTTCTTCCCATCAAGTGACTGATTTTATATATTTTCAAGACATTTTTAGCTTTAAATTGAATACTGAAAATCATTTTCTTCCAATTATTTAATTTATCTAATTCAAGTAGCTGATATTGGACTCTATTTTACAGAAATACTTGAACAAAATCAAGGAAAAACTAAGAGAAAACGTATAGGTCTTTTAACAATTACATTGTTAAATAACTTGGGTATTTTATATCTTATTATTGTTTATTAAACAAGTTAAGTCATTTAAAATCGATCTTTTATTGATCATAGGAAGAGGTAAAAAAAAGGGGCGAGACCTATTAGATTGCATTCCAGGTGCGGCAAGCATTCTTCCAAAACAACCAGATTGCCCACATTTGGTGCAAAAATTTTTTTCCATGAAACAGCCAACTTTTGTTGTTCTAATAGAGACATAGTGTTAGCTAGCAACCCAATTCCAACTCCTTTAAAAGAGCTATTAACTTTATTATCAGAAGAGGCAAAATTATTTAGAATATGTATAAGAACAATTAACAATATTTTTGCTTTCACTTCTTTTGGAGTTAAGTGCGACAAAAATCTAGCAAAGAGAAATAAAGGTGTCTATACATTTAGGATTCAGGGGCAAGTTTATCACTTTATTAGTGACCCGGAGGCCTCAAAAAATTTGCAGTTGTATTTTCATGATACTGAAATGAGCTGACAAATCGTTTAAATGCATGTCCAAGGCTAACAGAAAGTGTTATCCAAAAGGTTATGAATATCCTTGAACACAATCCATATGCTCGATTTTTTTGTGGTTTAAGAGAAGTTCATAACCTTGATACTTATCGTATTGTCTTGAGAACGCTGCCTGGTATAGACCAAAAGGTATTTAACAAACCTACGGTCTCCCAAGTTGCTGCATTGTGGGTTGAAGGAGAAGAAAATGGGGGAACAAGCAGGAAAAATATTCGAGTCCATACTCATGGTGGTCATTGTCACAGTATAGAATATTACTATGACTGTTATGACCTCTTGCAGTACCCTCTTCTTTTTCCTTTTGGTGAACTCAGTTGGCATCAAGGAATCCAAAAAAAAGGAAAAAATGTCCACAAGAAAAAGATTCGAAATAAGAATTCTGAAAGTTCAATTTCCCCGATGCTTGCTGCTACTGCTGAAGAACTATTACAGATGGAACAAGATGATAGGTGCAGCCAATCTTTTTCATCTATTTGTAGTTCAGTTCAGCATAGTAAATTAACTAATTATTCTACAATTTGTCTACCAGCAATGGCAAAGATTGATAATGATCCAAATTTTGTTTCTGTGAGAGAGTATTATGTTTATAAGTTCCAAATAAGGGATAATAATGAGTCTTTTTTGCTTCATTTTGCTACATTAATTCAGCAATTTATAGTGGATATGTATGTTAAGCATGAATTTCAAGGACTAGATTTTTTTAGATCACAACAAGAGGAAATAAGGAGAGAGATTTTGCAAGGAATACAAGAATCTGTGGCAGCTGGTAGGCAGCAAATATTGGTTAGAGAATTTTTTTACCGACAAGCTTTATTGGAGGGCCAAGAAATATGAGAAGAAAATACATAGATGCAATGACTTTGGTCCAAAAATTTGGCAAATCAGATATCTTCTTGACCATGACTTGCAATCCTAATTGACCAGAAATAAAAGAACACCTCAATGAAAAAAAAGAAGCGCATAATCGGCTTGATTTGATTGTAAGAGTCTTTTGTGTTAAACTTGAAGAATTAAAAAAATGAAATCCTGAAGAAAAATATTTTTGGTGAAGTGGCAGCTTACACATATATTATAGAGTTTTAAAAAAGAGAGTTGCCACATGCACACTTCCTCTTAATTTTGAAATCTCAACATACAATGTTCAGACCTGAAGAGTATGATAAGATTGTCAACGCCGAGATTCCAGACAAAGTGAAATACCCACACTTATATAGAATGGTTAAAAAAACACATGATGCATGGTCCATGCGGTGTTTTAAATTTGTCAAGTGTGTGTATGACAAAGAATGGCAAGTGTAGGCATTCATATCCAAAGGATTTTTGTGAGGAAACAACCCAAGCCATTAATTCTTATCCAGTATATAGGCGAAGTAATAATGGTGTTAGAGTCAAAGTTAGACAGCATTACTTGGATAATAGATAGGTTGTTCCCTATAATGCCTATTTATTGGCTAAATTTGATTGTCATATTAATGTTGAAATTTGTTCAACAATTCAGGCTGTTAAGTACATCTATAAATACATTTGCAAAGGACATGATAGAATCAGTTTTCATGTTAATTTCGATAATCCAAACAACCATATTGACGAAATCCAGCAGTATCGGGCAGCTCGCTAGGTCTCACCACCTGAGGCTGGATGGAGACTTTTTCATTTTGCTATGGGTGAAATAAAACCTGCAGTAATTCATTTGCAGCTTCACCTAGAAAACTATCAGCTTATAAGTTTCAAAAGGCATCAGAATCTGACCAATGTTATGAGCAATCCAAGAAACAAAAAGACAATGCTCACTGAATTCTTCTACATGAATAGAATAGATTCAGAAGCTTAGACTTTGAATTGTACATATTCTGAATTTCCTGACCATTTTGTTTGGCCTCTTGAGAAACGTTGGAAAATGAGAGATCGAGGGGACTCTATAGGAAGAATAAATGCAGTCCATCCGACTGAAGGAGAGAGGTACTACCTTAGGCTTCTTTTAACAAAAGTCCGTGCTCCGAAGTCCTTCGAAGACTTGAAGACTTATAATGGTGTACAGGTCAGAACCTTTCGTGAAGCAACACTTTTAAGATGGCTGCTTCAAGATGATAACAACCAAGAACATTGTCTTGAAGAGGCTTCTCTCTTTCATATGCCTTATGAATTGAGAAGACTTTTTGCAACCCTTTTGGTATATTCATGTCCCAACAATCCCAGACAATTATGGTTAAAATTTGAGGCTGTAATGTCGGAGGATTTTCTAAGGTGTTCAGATTTGACTCTTAGGTACTACAACAAATAAGTGATTTTCTTGAATCAATGGGAAAAAGCATAGCTTCATTTGGATTGGTTCCGAATAATCTATCATCCTTTGATGTTGAGAACCAAATAAGGGAATTATAAGCTGAAAGAAGCAAAACAGTTCGTGAAGAAGATCTGAATGCAATTTCTTTACTTAATGAAAAACAAAGACATGCATTTGAGATCATATCTCACTGCATATATGAGAACAAAAGTGGGGCTTTTTTTGTAAATGGCCCTGGAGGCACTGGAAAATCATTTCTCTATAGAGCATTGCTAGCTGATGTAAGGTCTAAAGGGTATTTAGCACTAGCAACAGGTATTTCAGGAATTGCTGCTTCTATACTACCAGAAGGTAGGACTGCCCATTCATGGTTTAAAATCCCAATTGATCTTTCAAAGGACAGAGCATGTAGAGTTAGCAAACAAAGCAACCTGGCAGCAATGATTAGAGAATCCAAACTGATTATCTGGGATGAGGCTCCTATGTCAAAAAGATCTGCAATTGAAGCATTAAATGATCTATTGCAAGATCTTATGAACTCATCAAAAATATTTGGTGAAAAAGTTGTCATCTTTGGTGGCGACTTTAAACAAACATTGCCAGTTGTTTGTAGAGGAAATCAATCTAAGACTTATAATGCTTGCTTAATAAATTCTTCTATGGTCTTCTCTTGAAAAATTGCAGTTAACAGAGAATATGAGGGCTCGATTAGACCACTCATTTATTGATTATTTATTGAGAGTTGGCAATGGAACTGAAAAAATCCAAGATGATCGCTACATAAAGATTCCTTCTTCAATTTTGCTTGAAAATAGTGAGGCTGATTCTGTACTAGATAATTTGATAAATTAGTGTACCCCAATATCATGACTAGATCATCACATGCTAACACTCCAGTCAACCGAGCAATTCTGTCCACAAAAAATAATTTTGTTGATGAGATGAACGACATTCTCATTAGCAAATTTCCAGGTGAAACAGTAGAATATCTTAGTTTTGATGAAACTTTAAATCCAACATCAGTGACAGTATAAGGACTTTTTGAATTCTCTTTTCCTAAGTAGACTTCCACCTCATAGGCTGATCTTGAAAGTTAATGCACCAATAATCTTGTTTAGAAATTTAGATCCCACTGAAGGCCTTTGTAATGGGACAAGATTAATATGCAGGAATTTGAGCCGAAATATTATTCATGCTCAAATAGTCGTAGGTGATTTTGCTGGAAAAGATGTTTTCATCCATAGAATTTCGTTAGAACCTCCCACTGATGAGCAATACCCTGTCCCATATAAGAGAACTCAGTTTCTAATCCGTTTGTGCTTTGCAATGACAATTAACAAAGCTCAAGGACAAACATTAGATTTTGTAGGTATTTATTTAAGAGAACCCGTGTTCTCTCATGGCCAGCTTTATGTGGCATTATCACGTGCAAGAATAGCTTCACAAGTCAAGTTACTCATTAAGCCTCTATTTTTTAATAAATCTAGAATAAATCAGACAAAAAATATTGTATATAGAGAAGTTCTTGAAGCTTCTCAATTAGCTGTCAAGTAAATGAACATTCTTCTGCTATTTCTTCAATTTTTAATTAATCCTGTCATAATTGTAGTCTATATTTAAAATTAAATTCATCTGTTTGTACCATTTATAGATAAGTATGGCAAGACGCTACCTTCCAGTGAATGAGGTCGTTGAGGGAGTAAAAGGATGGATAGTACTGGCTCAGGTTGTTGAGAGAAAACATGTTCAGTTGAGTCGAGGAGCAAGGCCTGTGAACTACCATCGCTTTCTCCTTATAGATTCTGAGGTAACAAAAAAAATAAAGATATTCCTTCAATTTTTGCAATATCTTTTACTATTTTACAAATTTACAGCTATTCTTCTTTATGATGCAACAGGGAAAAAGGTTTCAGCAGTAATCCATGGCAATGATATCCGTTTTTTTGCTGGCATGTTGATGCCATTTAGGAGATACTATATCTCCAGTGCAGCTTTTCGAAAAGCAGAATCAAGGTATAAGGTCAGTGACTACCCATATTCTTGGGTAATTCATAACAGAACGTTGGTTGAGGAGTATGTAAAGCAGGTTCCGCCGGTTATTCTGTGTCACTTTGAACTCACAGCATTTGAAAACTTATTCAAATTTGCTGACACAGAAAATTTGCAAAGTAAGTTCATGCTTTATCTTAGATAATCCCAATGTATTCCTCATGTTATCTTCAACTTATCTTTAGATTGAAATATTCTTTTGAATAATAGATATCCAGGGTATTGTCGTGCATACTTTTCCTTCAAAGGAATAGGGTCTGATTCAACGACTAGAGACTTGGTTGTTATTAATCAAGAGTAAGCCAACTGGAACAAAAGAATAGACTTTCAATTTACTAAATAAACTTATTACATTCTTTATTTTTTATCATATTTATTGCTTTTTAGAAAAAGGCCAATGCTCCTTACTCTGTGGAACGAATTTGAAGCAAATAAAGAAGCACAGCTGGCAAACACTATTGCAAACAACAACATCATTATAGCTATGAAAGTCAAAGTAACTACTTTTAACTGTAAGTTACAGCTCCCATTGCTCAAGAAATTATTATTGCTTTGCCTGCCATACTTCAACTTTAATGAACTAATTATATACTAGTTTCTTAGATCTATCTCTAACAACAAGGCTTGCAAGTTGTCTGCTGGTGAATCCACCAACTCCTCAAGCCACTGTATTACGGCAATGGTGAGCATATCATGTTTTATAATTATACATAAAAACTGGAAAATATAACATGTCATATTTATGTTCACAGGTATGATCAGAATCGGCAGGAAATTGCACAACTAATTGAGGAGACCAGTTACAAAGACTCAACCAAATTGCTGCCTCCGGCCAAAAATGATGATATCATTAGTGTTGACAACGCTGTGAGCATGCTGAAAAATGTAAATACAGTCATTTCAACAACTAAATTATACTATTTTCTTACCTTTTACATTAGTGAAAAATGAATTACTTAACTTTGTATCTAATATAATATAAACTATAGGTCAAGACTGCCTGGATACGAGGAAATATTTCTTTGATAGCTGAGCAGCGATCTTTCTGGTATGCTGTATGTAGTAACTGTCAAAAGGCTGTAGATACTAATTTGGAATAGATCATCAACTGTCCGTCTTGCATAGAAGAAAGTGTCGTTGAAGCCAGGTAAACAAGGCATGCAATTTTACAATAGTGCTCTTAACAATAATTCTATTTTATTTCATTGAGTAACCATTATTCACTGCTATCATATACTAGATGCCGTATTGGAATTATCATTGATGATGGAACAAGTTCAATGTATGCAGTAGTGTTTGGTCCAGATGCTGAAAAACCCATACCATTCACAGTAGTACAGCTAAGTGAAGCTGATGAACACATAAGATGCTGAAAAACTCATACCATTAACATGCAATATCTCGATTTTCGTTTGTCTATGGTTGCATTGATTGGCCTGCAAATCTGGTAATGTCCCTCTAGTTATTTTGCTATTCTTTCCAAGGAGAAGACTCAATCGTAGTCAAAAAACAAAATTCCTAACTAGAACTAGCTAAAAGTTTCTTTTAGGCAGCATTAAGATTGCAACAATCTTTTAATTATCTAGTATAACTGAATTCTTAAGTTGCATGTTGATTTTTAGCTAGGAAAAATGAGTTTTAGTTGAGAAAAATTCTGTTGAATAACTGATTAGTTATTGGAAAGAAAAAAACAGTAGGAACCGACAGAGAAAGCTGAAGTTGCAACTTGTTATCAATGTCTCTTTGAAAAATAATGTTAGCAAATGCATGCAATATGTTTATCTCAAGTGTTATAAGATGCTTAGCTGAAAACTTGTGAAAAGTTGGAAATTTAGGCTGGAATGTTAAAGGAAAGTCGCTGGAACTTCCGAGCTCATGTCGCCTTTAATCTATGTTACTATTAAGCTTTCTCCTGAAATTGCATCATGTTTACATTTCTGGCAATCTATAGGGTCCGTTTGGATCCCTTGTTTTTGGGGTTGTTTTTGAAAAACTGTTTTTCACATTCCAAATGCTACAGTAAATGTGTATTTCCAAAACAACTCCAAAAACACCATATCCAAACATTATATAAAAAACAACTACATATGTATATTTCAATTTGTATATTTTAATTATGTATATTATATATATATATATTATATTAATATAAAGGGTAAAAAACAAAAAAGCCCCCTGTGGTAAGTCTAATACACAGAAAAATCCCCTATGATTTCAAAATATACAACACGACACCTCATGCTTTGAACTAAATTGTAAAGGTGACGGAATCCGTTAAATTTAACGGAAATGACTTATTGGAACCTAAAAAAAAAATTTTATACCTAATTTTTATCAAATATACCTATTCTACCCCTTAACCCTCAATTCTCTCTATTTAGAGAATAAAACAAATGATTTTTTTGAACTGTCTTTTGCTTAATTATATCAGGGTATTTTGGTCATTTTGTCCATTTCCGTTAAGTTTAACGGATTCCGTCACCTTTACAATTTAATTCAAAGCATGAGGGGTCGTGTTGTGTATTTTATAACCATGAGGGGCTTTTCTGTGTATTAGATTTACCACAGGGAATTTTTTTTGTTTTTTACCCTAATATAAATTGAAATATACAAATTGAAAATTATATATATTATATTATATAAATATTTATATACATTAATATTATACATAATATTGTATATTATACATAATATAATATAATATACATAATATAATATACATAATATGTAATATTGTATACATCAATGTGTAAATATTTATACATAATATTATGTACATTATATTATAAGATATACATTATTAATGTATAATATTATTATGTACATTATTGTGTATAATAATGTTATATATAATATATAATATACATAATATGTAATAATGTATATTTAACGGACTTGTATTTCAAAAACGAAATGCTACAGTGCTGTTTTTGAAAAACAACCCCAAAAATAGCTAATCCAAACGGAGCCATAAAATTTTTGAAAATACAGGGTATTGAGCTTTTTTTTTGTTTATTTGCAAAATATAGGGTGTTGAGGTTTTTTCTGAAATTGCATCTACAATTGATAACCGTGAAGTCCTATGCTTTGTTCTCCATTTTGACTCGGATTATCAAAGGCAGAAAGATGATAAGTATAGCATCATCAAAATATACACTGTTGAATAATTGGCTGAAATCAACCCGGCAATCACGCGCATAGTTGTCTCTAATCCTGTGGAAGAGCCTGTTCCAACTGCTCAAACCATAACTGAGATGCTGACCAGCACCATTGAACAGGTTGACTTAACTGCTCACTCCACTTTCACTGACCAACTTGCCATTGAAGGGCAATTCTTCATCCCAACAACAAAAATGATCCTAGATTCAATTGGGCGTAAGTCTGATAATGGAGACAAGCCAGCCTCTTCAAACATTGCTGCAAAAAGAAGCTTAACCTTTGAAACTCCAATTCCCAGAACTAATATACCTTCTGCTGAGAAGACAACCATTGAAGCTGTTCCCTCAATTGCTGGAAAAAACGGTCCTGAAGACATCAAGCCTGCATCTTCAAAATCTACTCATATGAGCCCTCTCAAGAAGCCACGTGAATCTGCAAAATGAAGCAGTCACACAGCTTCATGTCCTCTTTTGTTCATCCTTTTGTTGTTCATCCTTTTGTTCATCATGGATGCTACTGTACTTTTAGCATGCTATCTTTTGCCATCATATTAGAATCCATTAACATTCTCGCTATGACTAGAAGTTAATGAATCATAATATATGATATTATGTAACTATTAGCATGCATTATGTATCTCTACTTGGGACTTAATTGTACTGGAAAGTGTGTAACTAGAATTATGAATGGTAATTATGATATTATGTACCTATTTTGCAACTAGAATTGTTATATATGCTTTTCCAATGATCAGTATTATTAGGAGGGGCAAGGCTGTGCCTTGCACGGCCTGGTTCCTCTAGTTTAGTTATACAAACAAGTTCTACTTTTCTTATGCAGACATAAGGTTATATTTTTTTATTTTATCTAATCCTTTTTTTGGTATTTTTAATATTATATATATACACACACATACACACATGCATATACATATTTATTGTATTTTTGTATTTTTAAAATATTTAAAAATAAAAATTTGTGGGGTTTACGCCCCACGCCCTAGGGCTTTCACCCCGATTAGGCAGACACAAAACATTCTGCCCAATGCTTTCACCTTTTAAAACATCGCTGCTGAGAAAAATTGTACTGAAAACAAAAAAATCAACCTTTCACAAATCTGTTGTAATAAGCTCTCTAAAGAAAAAAAAAATGTGATGTTGTGATGTGAAGTTAGCTTCATAGCTTCATATCTTCTTTTGTTAAAACTACGTATTGCTGAATTGTTAGACCACTATCTCTTGCCATCATATTAGGATCCATTAAAATTTCATCTATCACAAGAACTCAATGTATCCTAATATATGTTATTATATTACTATATTGAACTTTAAATTAGGCAATCAGTATATTGACCTATCTTGTACAGGGCAAGATTCCATTGGAAGATAAGTAATCACTACTAGAATTTTTTGATAGCTTTATAAATGACTTTCATTCTGTTAAGTTAGGTTTCTGGTCATTGTGTATTTGTTATACTATTAAGATTGTTATGGGTGCTTATTCATACATGTTTTGTAGCATATGATGTGAAACTTACATTAACAACAACATATAATTTCTTAGGAATGCTTAAACATCATCTAGAAAATATGAGCTTTTGGGGGGTCAAGATTGGGCCTTGCACACTCTAATTCCTCTAGTACCTTTTAGATAGGGAAGAAAGGTCTCATTTTGCTGTAGCATGCCTCATTACTTGACACATGGCAACTAGAATGGTGAGGCTAAAATTTTTCTTCTCCTACCTTCAGTATGAATGCAAATGGAATCCTTCTCAAGCAAAATCACTTGATGTTTGGGCTATCAAATAACATCATAATTAGTTCTTTATTGGGCTCCAAATTCTTGACAAAGAAGCCTAGTCAATTGTTGAAAAAAACAATCAAAAGAGTCAGATAATTCTTTTCTCGCTAATAGCAAACGGCCATGCCTCTTCTCCAATTCTTGTCTTTCTCCATCTTTTAGATGTACTTTAAGTCTATCGAAATCACACATTGCCTTTCAGATTTGATGTGTTTGTGCCCAAAATTAGTAACTTTTGTGCTATTTATTGACCATGATTCAATACTTTTCTACTGGATTTCTCCCAAACTTTAGATTTTTGGCTTGTGTACCTTCAAGTTGTGTTGATTGTTGGATGACACCTAATTCCCAGATTTTCAACAAGATATTTTCTATCCTTTTTCCCCAAACTTTGCAAGCCTTTCTCTTATTTCTCTTTATTGAAGACTCTACATTGTTGACTCCCATTCCTTCCCCTTTTTCATTTGTTTTGTTTTGCCTTTTTTTCTTGATTTGGTAAGTTATCCTCCTTTATACACTAATTGAATGCATATAAGAGCTAT